GGTAAATTCAAAACTGCCACTTGTTCTCTGCAAAGGCTCCTTATTCTCCGCCATTGATGTATTTGTGCCAGGTTTTAAAGAAACCAGAGGGGGGATGAGGAATTAACATATTGCTCATTTGGAAAAACAGCCGGTTCTGGTTTTGGTAACACTTGTTCCCTTGCCAGCCACAGATGTCCTTACTAATAATCGTGGCAGGTCACAGAAAGAGGGGAGCGGGAGGGGGATGGCGGGGAGGGCGGGCGGGCTCCCCGGCAATCCCGTGCGGCTCCAAGCCTGCCCCGAGCCAGGCTGCTGCTGCTGGGGCGGGCGGAACACTGCGGAGCCGGGCTGAGGAATACCCGCGGCTGCGCACCGGCGCTGGGCGCCGGCCGGACCGGGCCGTGGGGACGAATTTTCGGATGTTTTCTTTTAGGTTTTTTTTGTTTGGTTTTTTTTTTTTTTTTTTTTTTTCAGTTTTGGGTTGAAGTTCCTTTACTTTTCCCTACTGCAAACCCCTGTGATATTTTTTATTCGTCTCCTTTAAACTTGCTGATCGTGTGATTTCCCATGTTTTCTTGGCGGAGGGGCTTTCACCTCCGCCAAGAAAACATGGGAAATTCCTGGGCACGGCAAGGGAAGATGCTGTTCAGAACCTCTCTCCAGGGCGGGGGAGGTGTGTGGGGGGAGGTCCAATAAGCCAATTAGACGCGACCGCGCCGTCCCGGCCGCCGCGGAGGCTCCGCGCCGAGCGGGAGCCCCGTAGGTTAATCGTGACAATTGGAAAGGCAACACTCGCGGGGAGAGCAGCGGGGGGGATGTAAACACGGTCCGGGGTGTTGAGGGTCTAAATTAGGATTTGTTTTGTTTTTAAGCGTGAAGGAGGAAGCAGCAGGGCTGCGCCAGGCTCCCCGCCTCTCTCGCCCTCCGTTCCCGTGATTGAGAATCGGGGCTGGAGGTACAGGGGGCTCCCTGCCGGAGCCCGGGGGCTGTGCTGGACCGCGCCCCCAACTCCGTCTCTTTGCTTCCAGGACTGAGAGAATTTTGCCATGGATGGGATGAATGGGACCAATGGCTGCAGCCCTGGGCTCGCAGTCCACCTGGGGTCGGTGCCGTCATCCCGGGCGCGCTCAGGTGGCAGTAGGCCCATCGAAACGGGCACGGATGAGCTCGGGACACTTGCCCGGGTTTCTCCGGGGAAGCTTCATCCTTCCCCGGGGTCAGGAGGCTTGGCGGGGACGGGCGAGGAGGGGAACATCGCCCCGGCTCCCCGAGGCGAGCTGCGCTCCCTGCCCGGCGCGCTGCCGCTTTCGGCCGAGAGCCCCCGCCTGTCTCCTCTAGGGTCCCGAATCCTCGGTCTCCGGACGTGACCTGGAGACTCAGCTGTTCCTGCGGCCCCACACGTGGGCCCTGCCGGGCCAGCCACACCAACACGCTTATCGCCGCGCTGGAGGGTTTTGGGGGGATGTTGGACTGTCACCTGCGGGAGAGGGCGGCCCCTCTGCTGCACCCCGCTGCCACCTGCGCCTCTCGACTCACGCCGTCCGGGCGGGCGGCGTAGGGGTCGCGGCGCCCCCGCCCCATCAAGGGCCGTGCCGTGGGGCCCGGGACGGGAAGGGGAGGGAGTGGGCACGGAAAGGGGCGAGCGGTTTCTTCCGAGAGCGGAGGCTGGGCCGTTCCCACCTGCACCCCTGGGCAAGCACCTGCTGCCAGGCGAGCTGCTGAAAACCCAGGCTGGAGGAGCCCACCGCCAGCCCCGCTGGGAACCCTCACCTGCCCAAAAAGCTCTCCGGAGCGGTGGCGAAGCCCTCGCTCCCCAAACCTCCGCGGGGCAGCCCGCGGCCCGGGAGGGCTCCGCTCCCAGCGGGAGAGTCGCTCCCGGCTGCTCCGAGGGCTGCTCCCGAGTAACCTACGGCAGCTCTAACTGGCAGCAGCAGGCGTTATTTTTATTTTATTATATCCTCATTCTTTTTTTTTTTTTTTTAACAACAAATTAACATGCCAGAGGCAAAAAACGCTGCCCCCTCCCCCCTACTCTGTTACGGGAAAGAAACTGGTAAATTCGTGCTTATGTTAAAGAATGGGTATACAGTATATCTCCTGTGGCAGGGGAAAAGGGTGATGAATAAAATTGTTGTATGAAATCGTTTGGGCTACAATAATAGTTATGGTTTAAAATAGGCGACAGGCTGCAACCTAAAGGAAACGGTTAATTCCCTTAGGAATTTATACATCAAACGAAAACCGTATTGAGATGGCTAATAGACCTATTCAGAATAGCTCGGAGTATAAGGAGTAGGGCTTTTGAACGAGGGAAGCTCCTAAGCTGCTTTGCAAAATAGCTTTTTCAGAGATCGCAAGATCAGCTGTGGAAAGGTAGCACGACAATTAAAAAAAAAATCCATAGCTAGATGAATAATTGAAACCTATTTATTTTGAGGTTAGTCGTTCCTCTGCGGAACCTGTTGTCTGGGGAGCGCGGTCCTGAGGGGCTTTGTCGCTCCCTCTAGCTCAGGGCGCTGGGGAGTTTCCCGAGTTCCGCCGGAGGCGATCTCCGCCGGGGGACGGGGCCGGCCGAGCCCGGGCGGGAGGCGGCCCGCGGCGCTTTGCCTCCAGCCCCGCACATCGGGGCTGATTCTACCCGGGCCAGCGCTACGCTGCCCCTCGCCGCCAGAACTTTATCCCATTTTAAACAAGGCAGGTGAGTCCAGTAAAGCTCACTGCTGCGCAAAAAATACGTCTTCCTGCAGATCTCACTGACTGGAAATGAAATATCCAACGGAGGAATTCGAGCGTTTTTTTTTTAAATCATTTTTTTTATCATTAATAAAACGGCAAAATAACATACTATTATCCCAGGAGTATTTGATTCTTTGCACGTTCAGTTGAAACAATTTTGATTTTAAATCAGATTATCTACAAAAAAAAAAAAAATCGTATAACCAAGAACATAGACTGCATCTTTAAAACTCAAAATACAAACTAGTATTTAAATTCCCGTAAAATGTAAATATGCATGAATAAACCTGTTACAGCTAATAAATGGCTCTGACAAAGTTGAAGAGATTACAAAATAATTATCTGTCTCGTAAAGAAAAAAAAAAATCCCAGCAAACGGAGGGGTGTCTCGGCACCAGCCCCAGAGGTCCCAGTCATACTCCCATCACATCAGCAGTGTAGATGTCAGCGTACCGCTGGCACCCCCAAAATGCAGCCTGAACAAGGAGGGACCCGTTCCCGAAGCCGGGTGCTGGAGCAGTCCTCGCCGTTATTTCTTTGCAGGGTACCCGGGCTGCTCGAGCAACCCCACAAGCGGGAGCTCACTTTTGGTCGGAGGTTCCGCGCTGGGGAGCCCCTAACCCGCCCGAGGGCCCGCTTCCCCTGCCTTGGGCTGCGGAGCGGCAGAACGGCGCGGAGGGGGCTCAGGGCGCTCTCTGTCCCCGCACCCAAGGGATTTCTGGTGGCCGGGATGGCCCCGGCGGCGCGGCCCCCGTCCCACCACCAGCCGCGGCTCTGCGGCCTCTGCGCGGAGCGGAGCGCGGCCCCGCGGGACTCCGCACGGCCGAGCGGGCGGCGGGAGCCAAACCCGGGCCGAGTGTGACACCTACCTGCCAGCGCCGGCAGCACCGCGCCCGCGGCCGGCCCTGCGCGGGGCTGCGCGCCCGCGGGCCCCGCCGGGAGCGCCCCAAGCCGCGGGCCGGGCACAGCGGGGCTGCGCGCCGGGGCTGGGCAGCGGGGGAAGGGAAATGTGCCCCCGCCGCACCGAGCGCCTTTGCCCGTGCAGGCGGCGGCCCCGGCTGCAGCCGCTGCACCGCCGCTGCAGCGACGCGGGCTAAATCTGGCAGAAAATCGAACTCATTAGCAAAGTTCACCAGCTGATTGCTTTGCATAAAACACGACACTGATTGGAAGTAATTAGGTTAAAAGATGGGACTGCGCTTCGATTTGGTGTTTCTAACAAGTGCTTTTGTGCGTGGCCTGATTTAAGCCTTCACCTCTGGGAACTGCGTCCCTCCCGCACCCGGCCCCGTCCCGCTGCCGCCGCTCGCCGCTCCCGGCCCCGCGGGCGGCTCTTGCCTCCGGAGCCCCCGACCTCTTAAAAATTCCCTGCCACTTCCAAAAAGGCTTCAGGTACTAGTGTGAGGTCCTAAATGGAGCCCCGCGTCTCTTTTAAGAAATGCTTTTATTATTTCGCAGCTATGCACGTATCTGCCCGTTGCAAAAAGAGAGTGGGTTTGATTCTGTTAAAAATCTCTTTTAATTAAATATTTGCATTTTTACAAAGGCGGCTGCAGGTTTGGGTTTTTTTAAATCTAATACGTATAACCTATTTCCTTTTTTTGTCTCGTTTTTGCATTATAGTTTAACTCACACCCAAGGAAAAAAAAACAATAGGCATAAAAAATTAAATTAAACTTGTATATATATATTTTAAAACTATGAAACAATTCGGAAAAAGACACAGAAATGTATATATTTATATTACGAAAACAACATTAATGCCTGTACAGTTTTCTTGATTTCATAATTTACTTCAAAGATACTGGTTTATCAATTTAAATACAAAAAAGCTACATTAAATATACAGAATAAGATTTAATACAAATCTTTCTTCTTTGTGTGTGTGAGAGAGAGCGTGTCACTCGTTTGCTTTTCACTTGCTTAAGACATTTCTGGGCGGTTTCCACCAGCCATTTCAAATAGACTCTATAAACTTTTGAAGAGGGGCTGGGAGGGAGGGGGGAGCTGGTCTTTTTCTGTTTGTTTTGTTTTTCTTTTGGTACTGGAAAAATAACTGCCAAAGCAATTTATTATTTCTCTCAAATAAATTAAAAAAGGGGAAAAAAAAGGAACAAAACCACAGTCCCAGGAGGGGTAAGGGAGGAGAAGCCGATATTAAATGTTGGACATACCTTTCTTCAGTTCGTAAGGTGAGTCTTTGCAAAGGTCTACTTGGGACTGGCTCCTGATCATTTTAGAGTCTTTAGCCAGGCTCTCGGCTCTGCTGAGGACAGTCTGATTTAATCCATTGAAGTGGGCGCCGGGGGCGGCGGCGGCGGGCCCGCCGGCGGGGTGCCCGTGCAGGGCCCCGAAGGAGCCGTAGTTCGTGTAGCCGGGGTAGAAGGGCGCCGTGTAGTAGAGCGGCCGGGGCAGGACCGCCCCGTTGGGGAAGGGGCACTGCGCGGCCGGCGAGCGCGACAGTCCACAGCAACAGGCCCGCGGCCCGCCGGACACGGTCCCAGCGGGGAAGCGCCGGGCGCCTTGAGGGGGACGGGCGGCCCGTCGAGCCGCTCCTCCGCTAGCTCTTTGCAATCCGAGTCGCTGAGGCCGCTCTCGGCCTCCCGGGGACCGGGGGACTCCTGGAGGCGCTCGCAGCCCGGCGCTGCCTTGGGATCCGCCGCTCCTGGTAGGGGGAGAAAGGACAGGGGTGGGGGGCAGCTCTCGGTCTCGCCCTGCGCCCCCAAACCCGCCCACACACTTCGCCGCCCACCCTTCGGTCCCCGCCGTGGCCAGGCCCGCTCCGCTGCCCGCCGGCTCCCCCCGCCCCGGCTGCATGCCCGGGGGAACAGGCCGCCCGCCACCGCCGCACCGGGCCGGGGGCAGCCCCGAGGGCGCGGCCGTGGAGACCCGGCCGAGCCCGCTGTCCTACCTGTGTCCGGAGTCCCGGGGTCCCCCTTCTCCTCCAGTTTCTGGGGCTCGTCCTCGTCGTTTTTCTCCAGGTCGATGTTCTCCTCTTCCTCCTCGTCCTCGCTGCGGTTTCGTGGGGTCCAGGTCATTTTGTTCTCCTTCTTGAGCCGCCGCCGCGCGTTGGCGAACCAGGTGGAGACCTGGGTGAGGGTCATTTTGGTGATGATGGCCAGCATGATCTTCTCGCCCTTGGTGGGGTAGGGATTTTTCCGGTGCTCGTTGAGCCAGGCCTTGAGGGTGGCCGTGGCGTCCCGCGTCGCGTTCTTGCGGTACGCGGGGTCCCCGTAGGGGTAGGAGCCGAGCGGCGCCGCGTACGGGTGGTACCCCAGGGAACCGGCCATGCCCGGCGTGTGGTCGTAGGGCGAGCCCTGGGGAGAGAGGGGAGAGGGCCCGGCGGGGCGAGGTCAGCGGCCGCGGGGCGGCAATGACAGGGCAAAGACAGCACCAGGGCCTGCCCGCAGCCCCTGCCCGCACCCCGCAGCCTCTCCCCCGGCGCCGGGCCCTGCCCGGCTTGTCCTCCGGTTCCTTCCCGGGAGGAAAGGCCCTGGGGGCTATCCGGGGCCCGTAGTCTCTGACCCCAGGAGACCACCGGCTGCTTGCAGCAATCCAGCGGTTCTCCCACAAATGCAGGAGCGGAAAAGCAAGTGGGCAGCGCGGCGTGGGGGCGGACAGCGGCAGGGGGACCGGAGCCTTCCCCCCGCGCTGCGATCGCCGCAGACAACCTGCCGGGCCCAGGCGGCCGGGCGGGCTGGGCCGCTCCTCCCTGCCCAGGGACGGGAGGAAGAGAAAATAAAAGGGAGAAGAAGAGAGAAGAAAAGAAGATAAAAGAGAAACAAAAAAGGGGAGAAGAACGGCAAAAATAAAAAGGTAAAAGAAAAGAAAAGGATACAGAAAATGGAAAGAAGGAGCTGTAAAACTCTGCCCTAAACATAGAGGAGAAGCTGAGCCAAAGTCACCGGTTTTTCGGGGGAACTGAGGGGCGTTGGCTGTGGCCGCAGCTCTGCGGTGTGGATGTCCCGCACTCGGACTGGCCCCGCGGTGCCCCGCGGGCGCGCACGGCGGCGCAGTGCCCTACCTTTCCTTCCCCTTCCCTTCCCCGCGCAGCCCCGCGGAGCAGCTCGCAGCCATGGCATTAGAGCTCTGCAATGTTTAAGCCTAATTATCGCCGGGCAGGGGAAAGTTGCCTGGATTTATCACCCGGATTTCTCCCATCGCCGACCCGTCCTGAGTTCATTCCCTTTTCAATCACAACAAGCTAATTGTTGCAGAACTATGATTGGTGTTTTTTATACATTTAATTTTATTTTTTTTTTTTAAGGGAATGAAACCGGTCCCCGCCTGCCCTGGACATGCTCACCCGGGCCGTGCCGGCGGCTCCCCCCGCGCCCGGCCCTGCCCGCCGCTGCCGCCAGCAACAGTGTGAGGCAGGGCACGGCGGCGATGCGGGAAAGTTGGGCGGCGAGGCGAGGAGCCGCGCTCCCTTTTGTCCCCGAGATCTCAAAAATAAAATGGGAACAAAAAGCAGGCCCGGGAGGGGGGGACAGGCGCCCACGGGATGCCGTCGTGCCCGGCGCGGTGTCGGCTGCCCGCGGCTGCTCTTACCACGTAGGAAGTGAAGGCGGCGGCGGCGGCGGCGGCCGGGTCGGTGCCGTACTGGAGGTGGGAGTTGTAACCCGGGGAAGGGGCGGTAAAGGCGGTAGATCCGGCATAAGGGGAAAAAGCGGAGCCCGAAGAAGATCTCCCAAGTTCATCGGTCCTGGGTCCGGAGATCACGCTGGTGCTGTACGCCGGGCAGGAATAGAGAGCCAAAGACGCTGACGGCTGGTACAAGTAACCCTGAGGATACGACATGGCCAGGCGCGCACATATACCCGGGAGCCCAAGGCGCCGGGAGGGAGCCGCCGCGCTGCCGGGTTGGGGCGGCTGCGGCCGGGGCTTCGCGGGCGCCTCTCCGCCCTCGCCAGCTGGGCAGAGGCGGCACCTTGCTCTGCGCCGGGGCTGCTGCTCCGCTTTCGCCTGCAGCCGGGCACCGCTTCCTCCTTTTTCTCCCCCCTTTGCTTTCCCCTCTTTCCCTCCCCCCCTCCTCTCTTTCTCTCTCTCTCCCCCTTGCACTGGGGGGCTTTTTTTTCCCCTTTCCTCCTCGCTCTCGCTTTCCGAAGGGTCCTGCCAAGATGCTAAGTTGGAAATTGCAGCTCCTGACGCCTTCAGCACGGCCCGGCGAGGCTCCTCCTTCGCGGGGTGTTGTCAGTGGAAGGACTGGCAGGACCCCGCTGGGCTGCCGCGGCCGGGCCCAACCAGCGGGAGGGCTCCGCGCTTCCCGGGCCCTCCCCAGCGCTCAGAGGCTCAAGTGCGCCGGCTCCTGGATTGCAGTCACCTCCGAGCCATTTAAGATCAGCTCCAACTTTCTGCATGTGCTAAATACCGTGCGGAGCCGCGTTGCGCCGGAATGCAAGCCAATCAGTATATGAAAAAAAAAATAGATCTTTAATAAGATTTATTAGCCGCCCGGCTCCCCCTCTTCACAGCCGCCCCTCCTCGTGCTCTCTGCCCCTGCCCCTCCCTCCGCTAAATCATTGGAGGTGGGATATACGGTGGACTGGTGGTGCTGTTAGTTTTCATTTTCTTAACAAAAAAGGAGGTTTTCGTCGGGGAAGAGCCGCAGCCCTGTCCCTGGGCGGCTCGGCCGGTCACTCCCGCGGGCAGGGGCCACCCCGCCACCGGACCTGTTGCGGCGGCTGTGCGGGAAGAGCGGCGGCGGGGTCCGGCCAGGAGCGGGATCAGCTTCGCGGAGGGCTCGGATTTAGTCTTTCCCAGCGCCGGCCGCAGGAGAAGGGCGATCCGGAGGGGAGTGGAGGGGGCTGAGATGGGTCCGCAGACACCGCTCAGAGCGAGGGTTTGCCCGCGGATCTAAGGAACACACCGGGTGTCCTCCCCCCGCCCTCGGCTCAATGAAGGGTCGAGGCGAAAGCAGATTAAAACCATATGAACCGGGATAAATCCCTGCCGATCAGAAGATGTAATCTCCTGTGATTTCACCAGATATATTTCTCAATAGAAACATATCCCGATTTATTTCCTTCTCGCATATTTTTTTCCTTGCGGTTGAGGAAAGGAGCTGCTCCAGCGGCCGCGGACCCCTGGCCATCGGGATCCGCCGTGCCTTTCTCGGTCGAGGGAGGGGGGGATAGCATAAGATTTATATTTTCAGAATTTATTTTATTTTGTAACTTTCGCATTTCCCGACCCTAATGCTCTCGCCGCGCTCCCCGCGGGACGTACGCGGAGACGCGAGGAGCAGGGGTGTGTTTTAAAACGGGCAGGCCGGGGCAGGAGCTCCCCGTGTCGCCGTAGAGGCGACACCGACGCCGCCCCGCTTTCTCCGTCCCTCCTTCCCTCCCTCTCTCCCTCCCTCCCTCTCCGGGGCTTCGTCCCGGCGGCTGCATCCACAGCCCCCCAGCCGGGCGCAGGCTGGCACTTGCCGAGCGGCCGCGCTGCAGGGCCGGGGCTGGGCGGGAAGGGCGCGCTGTCCCCGCTGCCTTCGGGGGGACGCGGCACGACCGAGGCCGGCGGGGCGGGCGCTGCCCACCGTACAGCAGAGTTGCCCCCGCTGCCGTGCCCTGCCCTGCACTACAGTACCCATCAGGCCGCGGCCCCGCCAGGCCCGCCCCCGGCCGTCCCGGCGCATGACTGGCTGTTCCCCCGCCGGCGGCGGGCGCTCCGCTGCTTCCACGGGCCCGCGGACCTGTCCCTCAGCGCGGGGTGTGGAGGGGCGGTGGCAGCACGGGCGCGGTTGCGGCGGAGCCCGGAGGCGGCGCTGACAGGACGGCGCGCGGAGGCGCTGCGGGGGGCGCTCTGTGGCGGCGCTGCCCCGCCGCGGGGCGCCCCCTGACGGGCGGCGCGGTTCGGCCCCAGCCCCGCGCTGGGCCCGGGACTGGCGGAGCCGCACCGGGCTCGGCTCCTCCTCGGCTGCGGCCGGACCGCGCTCCGTCTGGCCGTTCCCTCCTCTGTCCTCTTGCATTCCTCTCGCCCCCTGTTTTGTTTTTTGAATTTAATTTTTTAATGTGCGGTGTGCGGAATTTCGTTTCTTTAAACTCCGTGTGGTTCTGCCCCGGTAAACGGGACAGGTCGGTCCCCGGCTCGCACGCTCCCTTACATGCTCAATCCACACAGGTGTGCACTTTCATCAGTTTTCGACTGCGCAGTGTCACCGGTATTTGTCCCCGGCTTCATTATAGCGATCGCTCTGGAGCACTGCATTTCTTTCTCCACTCGAAAGCTCTTCTGTCATAATCCTCTGACAATCCCCCTTGTTCGGGGAGTGAGATATCATCTGGTCAAGTTTTATACGTTTAACATTCATTTTATATGTGAGTAGAATAACTAACTGCTTTTCCGTGCTGCTTTCTTTGTAGGAAGAAGCAGAAGTTTTAACCATCTTCCCATGGCATCTGACTTTTTTGAAGAGGAGGTAAGGTTAACGTCATGTAAAATTACCCTCTTTATTTCTGATGTTCCACTAATCTTTCTTCTGTAGGCATACATTTTGGAAACTGTGGTGAGTTCATGCATACTTTCATGCCTTGCAAACATAATACCAGAGCTGATTAATAAACGGTAGTGATAGGACTCTTATGCCGTCAGGATTGTAAGTGCCTATCAAACTGACATTCTCACTACATTATGCCACTATTATATTCTTTGCAGTTTTAAAAGAACTGTAGATAATTATTCAAGATATTGAAACATTTAGTTTATAGTTCTATTGCTGTGGTTGTCACCTTCACTTTATATCAAATTTGAGACTCATTTCTTAAGGATGTCTCTATTTTCTGCTTTATTTGCACATTGATAGCTTTACTGAATGACTAGTCACAGCAACTTTTTCCTCTGATAGCAGCATATTAAAATGTGAAAGCTTAAGACTAATCTGCTTTGCAGGACTTTTCAACCACTTGATGGAAGGGAAATAAGAAGTTTGTTTCAAGGCTCTTATGTTGTTCATCAGTGCTGTTAACAAACGTGGGGCTTGAGGATACATTTGCTGCTTCTCTGCATTTTTGCTGAAGGTATGTGCATTTGAAGGTATGGACGAGTTCTTGGTATCAGGAGTTTGTGTATTTTGCAGCTGCCAGTGAAACTATAACAGTGCAGGTTGATATTAAAATTCTGGACTTTGTGTATTTTTCTCATAATTTTTTGTAAGATAAATTGTTAATGCAATAGGAAAAACACTTGCCCTTAAAATCTTATTTAACAGTGGGAAAGATTTACGGTCTGGCTATGCACTGTTCATGTAATTTAAATTTAGGCATGTGAATTTAGATTCAGCTTCTATAGTTAATAATTGAAATCCCTGTTTTATAGCCTTCAGTCTGATCGTTTGGGTCTTTGGGTAGTTTAGTAGCTGGACTCCAGTAGGGTTTTTGGTATGAGAGGAACTTGGATTTGAGATGACTGTACAAAACGTGACCCAAAATACAGCAATGTTTGAATTTGCATATTTGTTTTTTCTACACTGGTTTCTTTTGCATGATTTCATTTAGATTGTGCAAACGGGGTAGAGCATAAAGTGGCTTAATAAATCAGTGCATGAACGTACAGTAGGGATCAGCTGAGAATATTTTCTTTCTGGGAGAAACAAATGAGAAGAGGCAGAATGATCCTGAAAGTAACAGCAAACTGTGGTTTGAAAGTACAGCTATTGGTAGGCTCTAACTCTAAAAGGTTTGGTTCCAGGTGGCTTATAGTGAATAGAGTTAAACTTGGCTATCTTGGATATGATACACCTTAATTTAATTAATTTAATAGCTACTTTTTGTTGAAACTTTAAAATCTAACGATCCTGTTTTTATTGCAGTCTTTAAAGATCTAATCGTTCTTCTGTGTGTCTGAGATGTAAAACTTAGTGCAAGGAGAGGCAACAGATTGGTTCCGTCATACGATTTTGTTGGGTTTTTTTGAGAGTACTTAAAAGATTATGATGGATAATGCTGTCTTGCCAAAGAATGCCGACACAGGTGTTCATCATTATCTTAATTAAGATCCTGAGAAAATGTCATCTTTCGGCATGAATTATGAAGGGAGATGCATTAGGAGATCATTTCAACTTTTTTTTTCTTTTTACAGCGGTAGATGAGAAGGAGGCTGTTTTCTCAAAACCTTTTTGATATTTCTTTATCAGAATACCTGACCTTAGACACTGGATTTGTTTCTCCAGTTCAATTTGGGACAATATTGCCCAACAATTATGTATGTGACGCTAAAGAGGATCATCTTAAAGAAAAAAAAAATTAATTAGCAATTCCTCTACAAGATACCCTGTTTCATTTAAAGCTGTTCTATTAAAAAAAAAATAAACCTGTGAGACTCGGATGGTAGTGGAAATTGCTGCTGGAAACATCTGATAGGAGATGTTTCATACAGTATATTTTAAAGTATTAACAACTTATAAGAGAAAAATAAATACATGTGAATATTCATTTTTTTTAATTATGCATGAAGAGAAAATTTTCTTTCTCATCTTTGCACTACCATAGAAGTCAAACTAATTAGCATGCAAAGAGGAGGGAGGGGCCTGTGTCTTTCTGTGTTAAATCAATACATTATTACCTGGGCAAGAGCTAAAAAAAATGCGTGTAAAATATTGGCTGTAAAACTTAGGAGCCCTTTCCTGCCGACACTGCTGCTGCTTCCCTCAGGTGCAGCGCTGGGAGTTCCAGGCCAGCAGTGCAGTGGAATGCCCGTGTTTTGTGGCTCTGAGCCTGGGTGAAGGAGGAGCTCTCTGAGCAAGACACCCTCAGCTGCTCTGTTGTTTCCTCTGCCTGCACTTCCTTTGCCCGGGATGCTCCTTGTTCACACTCTCTGTGTTTGGGTCTGAGAGCGAGGTGTAAACTCGTGAACACCTAGAATTACTCTTCTGTGCCTAGCATTTGGGTATTAGGTAGGTTACAGTTTTGTTTTTCTCTCCAAGCCTTTCAATTTTAAATCACTTCTTGTCTGCAAAAGGAAGCCTGATTATCAGTTCCAATCTTTTTATTTTTTTTAAATTGCTTCAGCAGCCTTTTTAGTGTGTGGAATGAAATACAGAAGTGCAGCTGACAAGTCTTTCAAGCACCTAGTTGTTGTACTGAGCATGTAACTCCAAAGATCTTGACAGTATCATGGGAGAACCTGAAATTGTATTTCAGTTTCCTTGAAGTTTCCTGTAATTAACTTAAATGGCATTATTTGCTTGGATTTGTTGGCATAATGTGGACTAAGTTAAGAATGTCTTTAGGGTTTATTTTACTTACAGTTCCATGGACATTTGCAGAAAATAGACCCTGAGTGAAAAATGAAAAACTGCTTTCTTTCATGTCTAGAACAAGTTTTTCACTTAAAGCAAGCCACATCTACTGTTAGTTGGCTCTTATGGCAAATGAGGAGCAGCTCAGTGGGAAGGATGGCTGTGGCTCCCTGTGCTTTTTTGTGGGATGTACATGAGCCCATAGCTTCCCTCATGGTGGCAAATTCCCTTTTGCCTGCAGGTGCTGCAGCGTGGTGGGAGCCCCTGCAGCTGGAATCTGGCCTTCAGTGTGGGTGTTAGAGATGAGTGTCTTAATAGCAGTGTTGTGTTCCAAAGATTTTGTGCTTTATCTACTTTACTTACATATATTTGCAGTCCTTATGACTGGTGTTTGTAAGAGCTCAGCAGTACCTCTCTGAGGAGAAACATAAAGCCAGGTGGCCTTTCTGGCCTTACACCCAAGGAATTCTTTTTAACAGTTCATAATTTCTGGGGTTTTATTAACATTAGGGCTTTTTAGGCTGTATTCCTTAATGTGGGTAGTGCAGATGTAGATGATTCTTGAAGCTGTTTTTAACAGATTAAAGTGAATGTATTTGTAGAACCAGCATATTTTTTTTTCTCTATTATTAATTCATTGCTTAAGGAGAAAAACAAACAGCTGGACCTTTCAAGGTGAATATGGATCACCATAACAGAGTTTTCTGTACTAATAAACATGTGACTGATTACTTTGCTGCTCTTCCTGAAGGAGATGCACCTTTCTGAGCAATTTCTTTCTTCCCAACAGAGCAAAAATGAGGTTTTTCTTCTTGTAAGCACGTATTTTTCACAGTATTTTTTAGCATTTCTAGTGCTGATGAAGAACACAGCATTTACCTCTGAAATATTCTCTGCTGACATCTACAGAAATTTTCATGCCCTTCAGATTTAATTTTGTGTAAAATAATGCATGGTATAATACGTAGGTCCTGTGTTTTCAATTAAGCTGTGTTAGGTAACTATGCTCTTCTTTCATATCCCATAGCAAAGTATCAATATCCAGATGGCAGTGTGCTGGGATAAAAGATAGCTACAGGCTTGGCTGCTACTGTAAAGCCAAGAACAAACATTTTAGCCTGTGTGATAAATAAAACCCAGGTTGAGACTCTCGGCGTATTGGAGTTGCACTAAATAATTCTACAGTGCTGTTTATTACTGGTTTCATTGGATAATATGCAGCTGTAAAACCTGCTTGAAGCTTTTATTAAGAATACTCTGTCATTATAAAAAGGTGTCTACGACTTCTTTATGATATTGGCAGTGTGAGAATTGCTTTGTTTGTGCTGACTTTCTGGCTTTTATCTAGGAGGGACCTTGCTGTCTCCCAGCTGCTGTGGACATTAGGTTTCATGGATGTCTCTTGGGAAGAGGACAGCTCTGCAGAGCCTAAGTTTCAAAAGTAATTTTAAAGGTATTTTTTTCCTTTATGCTTTTTCTTAAGTTTATTTCAGTATTTAATTTATTGCTTCAGTTAAAGTTCAGGTGATATTCCCTGTAATATACACTGTGCTACTGTGTCCCTAAGTAAAACTTAAGCTGAGGTCATCCAGGTGGTTCTTTGGGCGGAGGCTGCAGAAGGGTGGAGAGACTTTTAGGCTGGCTGAGAAGGGATTGGAAAACTTAATAGCAGGCAAGGGGCTAGACCTGGGTTTGTTTTCTCCTTGCATTTCTGGCACATCCTGTGACCTGGATTTGTTCATGTAATCTTGGCCTCAGTTTACCTAGCAGGAACTCTGCTTGTCTCAGAAATGTTCAGATGTAAATTGGTGTCCATGCTCATATAAATGTTAGACTGTTGTACTTTTGAGCAAGTGATTAATGCTGTCAGTGTTTCATTAGCAAAATGCAATTAAACTGCCCTGTTCCTCAGATCTTTGATTTCCATAGACACCTGTTTGTGGTTCACCTCTTGGAACATGCAGGATTGAACACCATCCAATGGGATGTGGCAGTAACATAGTGTCTGTGGAATTTAACAAACATACAGGGTCAATGGATGAAGAAACCCTTGCATTGCTCAGTCTGTAATCCATGTTTGTCAGAGAAACATGCTGCTGAATTAGTGACAAATACGGTATTTTTGTTCCATACCCCATTCTCCCTATGTCCCTTTTCTTTTTTCCTTTCTAGATTGCACCGAGAGAAGCAGTGAGATGCACAGTGGGGAAAAGGGACCCAGCAGTCCATCCTATCCTGTACCTGCCTGAATATGGGAAGAGACCTAGTACAAAGCCAGAATGCAGCTGGGCTTGCAGTCTTTTTAACCATATTAAGTCCTTTCAGAGTTAATGGTAAGTAATCTGCTATGAGTAAGATATGATTCATTAAGCAGAGTATTACAGAAGGGGCACTTTCCTTTGTGGTGCTAGGTTCAGTCACTTACAAAATGCATTAATGTTTCCACATACATCAACTTTATTCTCGTTTCTGTTGAGAAAATTGCACAGTGCATGTAATAAGTATGTTGCTTTCTTTCTATTTTTGTTCTCTCCAGATGAGCTGAGTGAGATGGTCTCAGCAATGCTGAAGGAGGGAAGGACAGAATTGGAAGGCAGGAGCTACTTTAAAGCAGGATTTTTCATCTTTCTGTAATGCCCAAACATGAAGACTTTATAAACTTCATTAGGTAGAGTATTGCTAATAGTGTCATATCAGTAATGTTGCATGATGTAATATGGCATTGCTGTATTGTTTAGTGATCATATGGAGCTGCATTAAATAAATGAACATATGCCAGAGACTTAAATGAACATTATGAGTGAGAGCAGTAAATGGAGAAGGTGGGTACTAGAGGAAATGCTAGTAGCTTCTTTAAAAAGCCAGTGTCTTTCTTTTTTCAGCTCTTTCCATAACCAGTAGTGCTTTTGTTTCTTGATAAAGATGGAAAAAAACCCAACCCATCTTTTCATTCAAGAAATTGAATTTAGTTCAACTTCTTAACCAGAAAGACTTCACAGTCCTACTAGCTGTTAGAGCATCTTAATGCTTTGTCCAGCAGGAAATTGCACTCACAGTGCTGACCTATTAACATCTGTAGTGCAGCAGCATGTGCTGCTCTTGCTCCTCAGGGCTTGTGAAATGTCTGCTGTGGCACAGCCCTCTGTGACCTCTCGCATTGAAGGATGGAATTCGTGAGTCCTTTTCTGTCTGGAGCTTGTGGGAGCTCCCTCCTGAGCCAAATAGTTCTGAAATACTGCAAAAAAAGACCTGACAATGTTGTCTGGGAGATGTGACTGACTTAATTATTATTAACATTTATTAAGTGCCTTACAATGGAGTGGAAGAGCCATTGCTGTCCTTTTTACAAATAGGAGAACAGGCATGTAAGGAAGAATGAATCTCTTCTATCTTCTGCAATTCTTGACCCACCTAATTAGGTGATTGTCACAAGAAATGAGAAGCTGGCTCAGGGGAATGGCGCTGGGGGAAGCTGCCGACACGTTCTGTGCGCGCTGCGCTTCCCCCTCACACAATGGCTCAGCCTGGGGAGCAGGGCTTCCCTCTGCCACTGTCCCTGGGCCAGGAAGGAGATGTAAAGGGGCTGAGGAGCCTGGGGCTGTCTATGGGATAGCTTCATTATAGATCTCATCCAGGGAAAAGGTGGGGAACTGCAACTCATTTCAAGGAGCTGCTCTGGTTTTTAGCCGTTGCTCATCCGCTGCCTCCTCCCGCTCCCTTTCGCTTTGGAGTGGCCTTTCCCCACAATAAGCTGATTTTCTTCATGGCTGATATTTACGCTTAGTTAGCCTCTAAGGCACTAACTGCTTCTTCTGGTCTAAAACTTCAGTTTCTTTTTTTTTTTTTTTTTAAATAATTTATTTTGCTGAGAAAGCGAATCTGTCCAGCTGCTACAAACAATAGTGGTTTTGATGCATATCAATAAAGAGTTAGAGATGTATGTTTTCCAAGTAGAAGATAAAGAGACTTAAAGCCTGCTTTAAAGGAAGGCAAACCTTGGAGAGGTTTACTTAGATGTACAATATGCCCTATTCTTTGATTTTTAAAAACAGTATTAAGGGATTTTTTTCAAGAAAAGAGAAAATAATTTCATCTTTTTGGTTGCATTTTTTTCTTAGTCTCACAGTTGTAAGATAAATATTCAGAATTAGGAGTTGCTAAGGTTAATGTGATTAAAATGAGTATGTGATAACGGGCTCTGCACATTAAAGATTAAGAGCTCAAATTATACATTCCAGAGGGAAACACTCCATGAGCATTTGTAAATTTTGTTTGTGCAAAAAATGCAGGCTTAGGCCTGTGGTTGCAGTTGCACAACAGTTTTATCCTGTTTTATCTGCAGAGAATTCTTTTAAACACCGAAGTGTTGGGGTAAAAATGTAGTGAGGTGGGGGGACAAATGAAAAAATAATTTTGGGCTAAGCATCAGTGTTACTCTATAAAAACAGATTAGTTTTACACAATTTATTCACATTTACAAAGGTCAGTTTATAGCATTCTGAGTGCAGTAGTTAATTCTTTGTGTATAAATTGATCCTTTATACAGATGTAATTCCATATATACAACATTTAATCTTTGAATGCAAGTTGAAAATATATTAGCAATTAATTTATGTAGGTTATGACTTTCTTTCTCATGTACTTTGCAGTGGTTCCTACCCTAAAGTTGAGTCAGTGTGTGCTTAATGAAAATTAGATGTGAAATGTAATATGTGGAGGACAAAGAAGCATTGAAATCCTTATTGCCCTTAAAAAGACAAAGGTACCTCAGATAATTCTCCTTTCTTAATCTCTTAAGAATTTGATGCATAATTCTGTTATGAGCAATTTGGAGTGAATAAAATATTTTTAGAAGTAGTATTAGTACCAGATACTATTTCTCACCTTTTATGAAGCATAGTTTGGTTTTAAAATTTAAAATGCTTTGCATTTTGCGAGGCTCATTTATAGGCAGTCTTCCACTGAGAAGGAAAAGCACCCTGGACATTTGTGGAGGGGCAGGCCTTGTTATATCTATGAAATTTGCTAATGTTGCAACCATTGAAATAAAGTGTTTGTTTACATAACAGCAGTGGCATTTCTCCTCCTCTTCCTCGTGGTTTTGTCCAACTAGATGTTATGAGTGGCAGTTGCAGTGACTGCTAAGTGTTTAAATGATGACACCATTATGTGAGGTGATTTTGAAATGAGAGATTCCAGCCAAGAATTACATCTGCTCTCATCTCCTTCAAATCATACTCTCTGGCTGTGCAGATTATGATTGATTTGTTTGTGACAGATTGCAGGAAACAGTCATTGATTTTTCAATATTTTACCTTAAAATTATTTACAGTTGTAACCAAGGGGAGGTATTTCCATGGGCTGTCAGCCCCTGAAAGACTGGGATAATATTCCCTGCTCCCTGACAAGACAAATTACCCGTAATGAGTGCAGTAGCTGAAGGGTATACTTTTATTTTAAAATATGTCAATAACCCAGTGACTAAACGAATATTGATTCAGCATAATGAAGCCTGAGTAATGTGAAAATGAGCTCTTCAAGGAGCATGGTAAAGACTTTCTTTTTAGCTTGTAGCAAGAAGCTTTTCATTCTTTACTGTTAGGTAGTTGAAATGTGCAGTCTTAAACAAGTCATCCTTAAACACTGGTAATATGTGGAGTAATGTAACAAAAGAACTTTGGGGGTTTTTTCTGTTTATTTTTTCTTCTTTTTTTTTTTTTTTCCCCTCTGTTTTCTTCAATATGTTTCAGTAGATCAAACACATAAAGAGGGAAATGCAAGTTGTCCAGGGCAGAGATAGAATTACTGTAGGTATAAATATCTTTTGCAGTAATATTCTTCAGCTAGCCTAATGGCATTTTTAATGTGGAATCTCAATATGGGCATGGGAATATATCTAAATAAACTGTAGATTTAATTTCATATTATTGACTTCTTGACATACTGATGTGTGTTCTGCGTGATCAGTCTAATATTCTTGTCCTTCAACAGTTTAGAATGGCTGGTTTATGAGCACCTAGATATACTGTGGTATAAAACTTAGTTACCATAATGCACATTTTTCTTTCCATAACATATAACACTGCGTGTTTCTTACCACATGGGAATTCTCAAGAAGTAATTCATTTAAATTACAGTAATTTATGCAGTGCCATAGGTGTGGTGTGGAAAGGCATCTAATAGATTAATACGAATCTACTCAATTGTTCAGGGTAAGGATTAAAGACCATGTTGAGGTACAATTTTTTTAAACATTAGAAGTATTGAACACTAAAACAACCCCCACCCTGTCACGTGAAAGGATCAATTGGTCATTTGTATTCAAGAGCATCGTGCAACATGGGGAAGGCTCTGCAGAAGCCCTGGGTATAAATAGCCATCTAATCCAGGCATAGACAAAAAGATATTTTCTTGGGATGTTTGTGTGTAATGTGTCAATTATGAAATAATGTCATAGCCAGAAGCATTTAGTGAGCATGTTTGGGCATGAAGACGACTTGTCTTATTTTCTGAGGACTAACTTCAATTGCATCCAACTAGCTTGTGAAAATCTTCAGAAGGATGTTTTCCTGTCAGCACACAGGTGATTTTTTCCAAATGTCATTCCTTTAGCACAGCTAGAAACTATTTCAGGAGGCACTTGAGAACCTGTGGCATTGAGAGTTAAATGGCAACCCTGGAATGTGAGATATGTTCCTGTTTTTAATTTGCTAGTTTTCAGAAAAAGAGTGAGATGTATGTTTGAGTGGGTTACAATTAAATACTTGTAGTTTTGAGAGGGTTTGTGCATAGCACCTGACTTCCAAAATATTGGAGGATATGAATAATTATTAATAAACTGAAGTATTTAGCTGTGACAGGAGAATTTGGGGCTCTTGTCAATGTTACAAGAGATCTACAAATGTTACAGTGTTGAACCTTAATTTCCTGCTCAGTGACATTTTACACACCTCGGGTTCTCTGCCTGTTCTTTGTTTCTGTACCTTTTTGTTTCTTTGGCCAACAGCAGGAGATGGAAGGGGAGGATTCTTGTTCAGTAGCTTTCCCACAGTAGCGAGGCAGAGGGAGACTGTTCAGGGCTGGGTGCCAGCTCTGCTGTAGACTGAAGGGCAAATAAATGTTTGTTTTAACAACATCTCCTTTTCGTGGATAACACTGCATGAGCTCATGGTACCAAACTGAGTAACAGCAGATCTCTGCTTGCAAGCCATTGGCATTTTTCACTTGCAAGACAGGCAACAACTCTGGCTTTGCTGCCTTTCCCAAAGATGAGGTTTTTTTATTGAATATCTGGCATTCCAGCTCAGGCCTGAACCGTGTGCTTGGCACTAAAGGCAAATGGTGCATTTTTGACTTTTTATTTTAACTTGTGGGTGATCCTGAAGATGTCTGATGATGGTGCCTTGGAAGCTCTGCAGTTTATTCATACATCTTTCTGTGTTAGAACTGTGACAATTGCTAGTCTACTTTCAGGTGGACTATGGAGGAGAAAATAAAAACCGCCGACAAAAAAAACCCCTAAATAATTAATTTGTGAAAAGGTCTTGTGGCGTTTGGGATCTCCCAGGAAGAGAATATAAGCCCAGTTGCTGTTCAGTTAGGTAAAAGTAGAAAACACAGTGAAATTAAGATCATGGGTAGAGAACAGATTAATGTAATTTGTGGCAGAGATGAGGCTATTGGTAGTCATGAAGGGCTAATGTTTAGGGGCTGTATGTCCCTCAGCACTCAGCAACTTGCAAATTTTGACTCATTTCAGTAAATTTCACAGTGAACGCAGTGCATCAGAATGTTCTTGTAGTGGGTGGTTTTGTGTAACAATTCAGATCTTGATTTCATTGTGAATAAAGTAGCAACCAAAACCAATGGTGGATTTATATTTGTTTTTCCTGTTTACTCAGCCTCTGTGTTATCTGTCTGCTCTACAGACAGCCAACTAAAACAAGTTTAGTTTAAAGTCATAAGGAGAGCATGTTGGTGTAGGTGGTGGAAGTTGTGCTTACTGGCTAAGCCGTATCCATGCTGCCTCCTTCCCATTGCCAAATTACTTATTTGAAACCTAAGAACTGATATGTGATGGAATCCAAATCAGAGCAGTCTACAAGTGGGCAGACAACACTATGTAAAATTTGCTCATCTAAATGTCATGATTATTTGAAACCAATTCTTTGTGCCCTAAACTGCACTTTGAAGGTGTTGTTTCTTTTTGTTTAAATTTGTGGCCAAATTATTGCTTTCCCAAAAGCAATTCCGTATATGCAAATATTCTATTCTTTTGGGATGACCATTTTATGTACTAAAAGCTGTCAGTAGTGCAGATAGTATCTCAGTCTTTGGTGTGTTGGCATATGGTTTATGGTGAACTGTAAGACTGAGATAACCCTATAAAAATACGTGAGGGATCCAAGATGCTGTGAGAGTCTTGCTTAACTGCAATGGTTAAAAAGGCATGGCTGACTTAATGCATGAGTGTTGAAATCTGTGTCTGGAATTATGGAAACAAGTTGAGAAGCATGAACAGAATTGATTGTTGATTATTTTCCTTTGTAAGAGCTGGGAAAAGATGTATTGTGCTTTTCTGTGGTCTTTAAAGGCCTGCAGTGTCTTTTTTTTTTTTTTTTCTTTTGTTAACTTATCTTTTAATATGAAGTGTCATTCCCAAAATGAAGTAGTGTCCTTGGGCTGGTGGCAACAGCTGGAGTTGCAGAATTCATAAATAATTCAGAGAAGGATAAAGGGTAGGGGAATTTTTTTGTCATTTGAATCTTTATTATGTGCACACATTTCATTTTAGATACAGCATCATTTGAATTCATTCAATATGATGATTGCACTGACCTGTCATATTTATTTTGATGTCCCTTCCGAGGACCATATGCTCTGTCCTCAGCATGAAAATGATGCAAGTTGCAAACTGAAAGGCAGCTCTGTTCCTGTAGGGATGAAGCCCTCACTTCCCGTTGTCACGTCAGTGGATGTACAGCTGCACTGCAGTAGAGAAGGTGGAGTTGTTATGTCAGTGCAGTTACTAAGTGGCAGTGTAGCCTAGCAAAAGGTGGAAAAAAGGGCAAAACCTATTTGCATCAAGGTACTGTATGGCATTGAAAACTCAGCTGTCACCGAGGGCCAGTTGGTGTGAGGAACCTGGCATGTGGAGGGTGGAAAGGATTAAAGCCAGCTAGAAATCTGCCAAGGTGGAGGTGTGCCATGGTAGCTTTAATGTGGGAATACAATTAATTACTCTGTTTGTTGGAAGTGGGGTTGCCATGCACACAACCTCCTGGGGTTGCACGGGACTCAGTCTGGATATGCAAGGCTCAGAGCTTTTTTCTTTACCCAGTCCATGTCCTCCTTTCCTCTTGAAGCTGCTTGCTTAGTCAGAAAAAAATCTTGGGTAATGTTTTTTTGGGGAGAAGGAAATATGCAGTTATAGTTTACCTCTTCACTAATTCTGCTGTAACCATTGCATCTGGTCCTTCATTTATTTTGTTGGTGTGTTCCTGTGGACGAGTGGTACATTTTCCAGAAGTTACAGGCTCAAGTTCAACCATGTCCCATAAGTAATGAACTGCATGATAATGAGCAATGTCTGGCCCCTATTGGCTAAAGCACTGGCTGCTATTAGCAATTCACACTTGGTGGATAACAGGGCTCTGCTACCAGGACTTTGTTACTGTTACCTTTGTGTGTAATATTATCACCACAGGATTGCAGCCGCCTGCATATTTTCATGGTGTGAGGGGTAACAGGGAGCACAGTGAGTAACAGTGATTGGTGTGAAGTACATGGTCCACTGTGCCCATGCCAGGGGCAGAAGGAGCCAATTAAGTGCAGTTTAGTGAAATGCAATAACTGGAACCTGGGAATGAGAATAACTGTATGCAAAATTGTTTCTTTTCTAGATCCTGCCATCAATGACTGAGCCTCCCTGAAATCTTCTTATCAGTTACTGCCAAGATGAGAGGGATAACAGGAAGGAGGAGTGCTTAAGTGGCTTTAATGACAGTTAATTTCTTCTATTTATCAAACAACAGATTGTTTTTTCCTCAAAGCTCGATTGCCATGACAAGATGCTTTTGGAAGTCATCTTTGTAAAATAAAACTGACAATTTTTAGGCTATAAAGAGCTATTGTATCTTTCTGTTGAATGTTGTCATTATGGGAAACTGCTGGAAAGTCTTTATTTTTGAAGTAATTTAACTTGCAAACTTCATTCATTTATTTTAATATCTGTTGAATGCCATGTGAAAAGTTTCTTGCCAGAATTATTTTTATTCAATGGAATAGTTATTGTTACAATGCCCAATTTATTAATGTCTAAATTACTGTTGCTCTAGCCTCCTGCAAAACTGTTTCTTATTAGTAATTCTTAAACAAATAAGGAATGAATGAGGTTTTGTCCCCTTTGTGCTTTGATCAGCATATTTTCCCTTTCAGTGAAAGTGTCTTCAGTTTTTGGAACGACACAACACAAAGAAAGGTAGTTTGATTTTTGGAGGTTTTTTTCCAACAGTACATGTCTTTTGTGCAATGATTTTTTAATATGTACATTGCCAAGATACAATTGCTGGAAGGACAGAGAGAAGCTGTTGGGAATGTCATGTTATGCCAAATTAAGAATTATTAGCTCTTACTTTCTGTGCAATCTCTTCGACTAGAACTCGACCTATTGCGTCTGGCATATACTTTGACTCTAGTGGAACTAATGTGTCCTTGGAGTAGCATTTCAGAGTAACTTCAGATTCATGCTATTTTCACAAGTCTGCTTTAAACTGCTGGGATTAACTTCAGAGAAGGCGAGAGATACAGGCTCCTTTGTCAGCAGCTGTGCTGGTTGAAGGAGGAGGCTTCATGCACGTTGCTGGCTCATTCTCTCCCTGCTAGGGAAGCAGGCTGAGCTGTTTCCCTGAGCACACGCAGACTGACTTCAGCCCAAGTTAATCGTGCTATCAAATATTAGTTATCCAGTGCCCTGGGTCACTCTGATGAAAGGACAGGGCAAGCACAGACCAGCTGTGCAGACGTCATGTCTGGGAAGGGTGCTGTGTTGACAGGAGTGTTGCTGAGGGCTGGCCCTGGTGTGTCGCCTTTTCAGCAGGTGCAGTTACATATCTTGGATGTGGTAAAAATTGGACGTGTTAGAAAGCTGTGCAGATCTGTCATGCATAATATTCACATTCCAGGGACACCCTGGATAATGCAGAATAAACCTGTGTTCTTTGACTTATTCCTTGTGTGTGCCAGTATGAGGGGAGAGAACCAGTGTGTGTGTGTACATGCCAGACACCTATTTCAGGAAAATGTATCTGGTCAAGGTGTGGGAATGGTACAAGTGTTTCCATTATCTAGAGAACACACTTGTTACTTTACTCGTCAAAGAGGCTGCCTCAGCCAACACATGCCCCAGGAGAGCTGCTTTTGACACATCAGCTGCCTTGAGTGGAGAAGGAGAACACCTCCAGCAGGAGTGGCTGCTGTTGCTTCTCTACAGTGTTGGATCAGTAGGTGCTGGAGTCTGGTGAGGCATCCAAGCTCTTGCTATCCCCTGTGCCAAAATTAGAATGGTATGGATAATCTTTAGTACTCAAAGACATAGTGAGTAAAAGCAGTGCACTGAATGGCTCCTTCCACACTGCCCCTTCTTGTGCAAAGGCCATGGAGTGTAGGTGCCTTCCTAGAGCCAGCCTGGGCTTACAAAGAACAAGAGAACTGTCAGAAACCTGAGAGCAGCAGCACTATTTGCATCTCCTCTAAGCGTGCTGTCCTTTTCAGGTGAAAAGAACACAGCCACAGAAAGAACTGAGCCTCCAGCTCAGGTTATGTGTCATCTATTTTCTTTTATTTGTCCTTAAGGTAAAGGATGAGGAATATGCAGTGGCCATACTGGATGTGTGGAAGGGAAGAAAATAACATGTGTGAGGAAGGAGCAGGTGTGGCTCCAGGTGTGAGAGCTGTGCCCTGTTCCAGCAGCCCAGGGCTGAGCCATGGCTGAGCTCTCAGTGCTGGGTTCAGAAGTGATGTGCCTGCCCCAAATGACTGTCACATGTCTCCCCTGACCATGAACTAAGTGCAGATGACCTCCACAGCTCTCTGAGACAGCCCATAATCCATATGACTATTTTTATTTTAAAACGGATTATTGTAGTATCGAGATTGAAATGTTTAAGGAAATGCTTGTGATTGCTTAGGAGTCTCTTTACCTGCCTAAGTGGTAATACAGGTAAACCAGTTCTGCAAAATAACATCTTACATAGAGCACTGTCAGGGATTTCAAGCTGATGGGTAAAATTTTACATCCAAGCACTTAAAACCATCAAATACTATAGTTAAACTGCCATACTGTTTATGTAGTGCTAAAAAGACAACAAAACTTCAGGGAAGGCAGATTTTCTTCTTATAAATATTCCGTATAATAGCTTGGTTTCAAGTAGACTTCCTGGCTCTTTGTTGATTGCTGAATTTGGTCTGAATCTATCAGGAATCCCAGTCATAATGGTGTGTTTATTATTATAAGCACATGACTTCTATATAAGTTCTCCACAAATATGTTGGACAAAACATAGTTTACCTTCTTAACTGGTACTATATGGTTACTTTCTATCTCCTTTAATTTCAGTTCTAACTTGATTCAATAAAAGGTGCATTCCTGACAATAATCTTTATATCTGTAATGGAACACTTGATTTTATATGACTGTTTGCATACTCCAGACATAACACAACATTTTTGCAGCAATATGTGTTGACAATACACAGAGATAAAAATCAGTTTATGACAAACGAAGGAGCAAACTTTTAATAAGACCAGTGAATCATTAGAAATTACTAGAAAGGGAGTATTAGATTTTCTATCTTTTGAATGAGGATGAAATATTTTTATAGGGGTATATGCTTGAACAAATGGCTGGGGGTGGTAGAGGAATTCCTCACTGGCTTCTGTGGCTTTTGCAACACCTGAGGTCAGTCTGGGTCATCTTAGACATCCTTCTGGCTTGGAAGGGAGTGAGAAGTCTCAGTGTAGCAAATATCTTCATAGAAATGCAGCTTCCACTGAAAAGTTACTCAAAGTTAATTAAGCTTACCTTCAAAAAGGATTGGGAGGAGCATTGGGAATGTTCCTCTCTCCTAGTGCCGTGCCTTTTTCAAAGATCCTCTTTCACCTGTGGGGTGTTTCATTGGCTGGGGTGGGTTTCTCTGGTTCATCCATCCTCGCCCCACCCACATTAATCAAACAGCACATTAATGTCTGTTTTCAGAGCAAATGTCTTCTGCAGAGTGTCTGCTTCTACAAAGTGTAGTGCTGCCTTTCTGCTAGAAATAATTATTAGGTTGAAAATAATCTGACAACATCCTGCTGTGGATAAATTAGGTTTGTTCTCTACTAAGATTAGTTAGCTGGCATCCATTCACTAATGCATTACAAAAAAATGATTGCCAGTTGATTGTATCCAGTTATCTGCCTTTTTTTTCTGTTTAATAGGCTTTTTGTTGCCATGCTGTCACCAAATGTGTGCAAGTCATACTTTTCCAAGTGCCCTGCAGCCTGGGGAGATGGTGTTTGCTGTCCTCTACCATGAAAAGACTTTTGGGCAGAAGTGTTTGGAGAAGGGGAGAGGTTGTCTCCATGTAGATTTCTGAATCCTGTGCACCTTTGGTTTTGGCCAACAGGGGTGTGTTCTGCTCTATGGCAATCAATACATTACCACCAAAGTCCAAATGCCAGGTATAATTAGCTCATGTGTTTAAATAGGTGTTGTTATTTTTCAGCTTGTATATACAAGCCTGTTTTCATGCAGAAGTCCATATTTACTTGGGAAGAATGCTGTGCAAATCAGAAAAAGCAGAAAAATTATTTTAAAAGTTATATGCTAGTGTTTAAGATTTTAGAAATAACTGTGAGATCTTGTAGGCACACAGTTTGTGGTGACTGGGATGGGGCTGGCCCAGCCTCGTCCCCAGTGGGCAGAGCTGTGAGCAGCAGGTGAGCAGCACTGACAGCAATGAGCCATGGAGTGCCCAGGGGCACTGACCAACACCAAAGGGAGCAGAGGCACACAGGGGCAGGGCATCAGCATGAGGGGATAAAAGGTTAGGCTAAAGAACAAGAAGGGCAGATGCTTGCAGCTTTTTGAAGTGGGATGGTGTTATTACTCTGTATGGGCAGACACCTGAAGCCTTCTGCTGTGGTAAGGTGTGGCTCTGTTTGGGGGAATGCTTAAAGCCTTCTGAAGTTGTATGGTGATCATCTCAACTGCAACATATATTGTGACAAGACCTTTATTTCTTTGTTTACAATTGATTAGGGTTAGAGTTTTAAAATCTTAGTGCTGACTCAAAGGGCTTTACAGTCACTCACTGAGAATTATGGACTTGGCACAACTCACATTTTAGTCCTTCAGTATATCCATTATTGTTAGATGCTGAGTGGTCATTGCACATAGATGACTGCTTTTTTGGGTATTTTACATTTTTACATGGTCAGAAAAGTACTTTGTTAAAGTAGCTGCTGGGTGAATGGAGTAATTAAAGCATTGTACTGGTTTTATTGAAGCTGACGTATGCTGCACATTCCTTAAAACTCAGTATGTGAGCAGAATGTTTTCAGGATTTATTGAAGGCAGACATCTAGAGATACTGGGGAGCTTTTATAGTAGAAAAAATAACATCCAAGTTTTATGCTGTTGTATAAATCTGTCTTTAAGAAGAGAGCCGTTATTGCAAGATGTTTCTTGTGTTCTTCATATTTTGTCTGTGTGTATGTTTTATGTATGTGTTTGTACACTTTCACACAAATGCTTGACCTGAGCACTTTCATTTAACAGTGATTGTATATTCTATTTGGTATTTATTTGGGGAAAAAAGTGTTTTAATGCTGACTGAGAATCTCAATTTGCTTGGTATGAAAAGTAATCTGTAGTATATTGTGGGGGTTTTTAGTTTATTTTTTTAAACTGGAATACATCCCTACTTAGATTGAATTGCAGTTCTTACTGTGTGAGTGTTGTGGTAGCAAGCAAGGAATCTTACTCAGCATAAACTGAAGCTGGGTTTCATTTTAACTAGTATGATGAGTGCAATGTTCTACATGTGATACTTTTGCAAGTAGTGAAAAAATGTTGT